TTTTTTTTTTTTTTTTTTTTTTTTTTTTTTATGAATTATAAAAGTAAATTATAATGCAACGAAATGGTAAATAATTTTTTACAGCAAGATTTCTGGACAATATTCTTTTTTTTTGTTTTCTTGTCCTTTTCTAAGCAATTTCTTTTCTTTTTTTCCGCAAAAGTGGAAATAAAGATCAAGAAGTGTGCTGCTTATCTTTCCTCCTAACGTTAAAACAAGTCCGTTTTCGCGGAACCGCGATTATAGTACACGTTCTGGGGAAGTTTATAGAGGTAATCTAATCGTAACTTGTTGTATGTATACAGATATACACACATATATATATATAAACGTTTAACGTTCGACGACGAGATCGTAAAAAATAATAATTTTCCTGGAATTGGATACTTTTTCCCCGTATAGTCATTTTTATTGTTCTTCAGACAATAGAAAGATTTCTCTAAACTTAAAAGATATAAAAACAACCTTGGAGAAAAATAATTATCTATATCCTTCATCTATTTACCATAAAATTCGATTAAATTAAATCTATTAAAAAATCCAAGGCAAACTTTTGTTTTTTCTCTTACAAAAATTCCAATTCCTCTATGTGTGTCAAAATCAAGGAAAAAAGAAACAGGGGGGGGGAAGAATGGAATTCTTTCGCGGAACAAGTTGGATAAAAAAAAAAAAAGTAATACAGTCAACGTTTATTGTCTCGAGCATGCTAAATAAATTTTATCGAACGGAGAAAAAAACTTTCTCTCTTCGCTTGGACAACAATTGTTTCCGTAGAAGTCTTGACCACGTTTTTAAATGCACAGCAGGTAGAGAAGACTGCTATGCAAAATCAGGACAAATAAGAAAGAAAAGGAAAAGAAGAGAAAAAGAAAGAGTCACACACATATATATATATATATATATACAACACACATAAATGCATACACGTACATATGCACACGCAAACACATAGACACACACACGGAAAGAAAAATAAAGGAGAGAGAATGAGAAACGGTAAGATAGGCACAACTAGGTAGGTAGGTAGGTTGGTAGGTAGATAGGTAGGTAGGTTGGTAGGTAGAAGCTAGGTAGGGTAGAGAAGGTAGGAAGGTAGTCAAGCAGAAGGTTAGCAAGCAAGCAGGCAGGCAAGCAAGCAAGCAAGCTTGCTGCTGGCCACATTATGAGAAGAGATCTCCTCCTCGTTCCACCAATCCAAACCTTCCTCTTCATCTTTCACTTTTTATTTTTTCCTACATTGGTACAGAATGAAAGCACAAAGAGAGGTTTTGCATATTTCAACTGATATTTATCTAATCTTCTAAACTTCTACTGGCACAAATATCAAAGTATAAAGTAATTTTAAAATTAATATGTATCTACACTCTATGCTAATTCTTATAGGGTTTAATATTTCGTAATATTGTTAAATTTGTTCGATTAAATAGTGATAATTAATAGTTACAAAAAATACAAATCTTTTTATCGTAATTATTGATTTTATTTTACATTGATAATATTATTTGAAATTTGTGATCATCATCGTTAAATATTTTGACAAAAAAAAAAAGAAATAAATGAAATATCTAAAGAATTTATTTGAAAGTATTGGAACGAATCTGGTTTCGGTCCATTCGTTGAGGCTGAACGACGGTTGAGGTCGAAAGAACGCGGTGGTTGAACCATATACCATAAAAGGAAAAGAGGAAGAGAGAGAGAGAGAGAGAAAGAGAGAAATCAAGATGGCGTAACCGACTTGCACCCTCCTAACGAGTAAATTCGAAGGATACATTTTCGGCCAATGAGAAAACGTTCGTTCGTATTAATCGTTCAAAAGAAAATCAATCCTTACGATTCGATTGAAATAATAATCACGAATCAAGAGAATACGAACGAGAGGAGAGGAAATTTTGAATAGTTTTCGAATGATTGCAAATCAAAAAATAGAAAAAGAAAAAAAAAGGAAGAGAAGAAGAGAAAGAAGGGTAAGCTCCGGAGAGCTCGATGAAAAAGCTCGTGGTCCCGCGCGCAGTCCGCTATATCGATCGCTGCGCTACCCATTTTCAAAATGGCGCGGACGAGGTGCACCTACTTGCTTGCTCGTTGAAATCGCTGAACTTTCAAATTTCATAGTAAAAACCTATACATCCTTATTATTATCATCATTAACATAAGATTACATCTTAATAATCTAAGAACAAAGAAAACACGAGAAGTGAACGGCGATTATGACGAAATTACATTCGAGAGATTCTCAAAGTTAAAATTATGTTCACTATACTTAATTTTCTCTATTTTTTTTATTTAAGACTCACCGTGTGTAGTACACGTTGGGGATACCGTTCTTAAAACGATTCCTCGAAACGAAGGTCCTTAAGAGAAGACTTAAGAATCTCCTATTAGCAATATCTTCTTATTATTTTTCTTCTTCTTTTTCTCCTTGTAACGACGGGAACGTTTAACACTGAATCAGCACGAACTTTCCCAAAAAAAGTTACTTTTCAATTAATTTCTCCTTTGTTTATCACTACGCGGGCGCGTGTGCGTGTATATATCGATGATCGGGCGTCGACTTTTATCGTTAGAAACTCGACGACGATATATAATATATTATCTTTCGCACACAATAATAATATATTAATAATATTATTAATAATAATAATAATAATAATAATAATAATATATACCGTGTATATATATTTCTATATATATACGTATATAACTTCTAGGGCGTAGTAAATATATCAATATACAAAGAAAGTTGTACAAAATCGTAGAACACGATGCGTAGTCGTTGTCGTATGGGGAATTAATACTACTCGGATGATGATGGGAGAGAATGAGAAAGAACAAAACTCTGAGGCTTTCTTAGCGGGAGCGCGTTCGCGAACTTATCCACTTTGCTCGGTAACGCGCGACCGACTGCCGAGGTGGATTTGTGAGAAGACTGGCGCCGATTGGTGGGGATACGCCAAGAGAAGGGGTAGGAAGTGTCAGGGGAGGGGGTACGGGCGCCCGGCGTCCGTAGGTCTGTTCGTCTAGCCGACACGGCGACGGTGCGCGCGTACATCGTTCACTACTTACACACACACACACACACACTCATTTACTCGCTCACTCACTCACTGCACTCTCAACTGTCGCTTCGTGCAACCGTACTATCAACCTTTCTCTCTCTCTCTCTTTCTTATTCGTACCCTACTACCTGTTTATCTTCGATTCCTTTTAATTCTTATGTTAGCAAAACTTTTTTTTTATCAAGAATATTAATAGTTTTATAATAGTTCATTTTAGATGTTCAATCTAATGAATGAACTTTCCACCACGTATTTATTGGAAATAAACTTTTTTTTTATCGTATATATTAATCGATTTTTATTTACATTCCTTATCTATTTCTATCTCACTTTTATATGTGAAAAGAAAGAATTGGGAATGCTGCGCTTATGCTGCGTGGCTCTTTCTCTCTCTCTCTCTATGGTTGAAGAAATAATAATAATTTATGTGAGAGGTGGTAGGGAACAGATACAGGGCCGTATATAAATATATACTTTGACTAGAATGTGTCGTTTCAAATCTTTTTTTATTTTATAGATTTTCTTTTTTCAGACATTATTAATTATCGATCGTAGAAGAAAATTATATTATTCAATTGTTAATCTGTTATATCTTTTAAGAATTACACGATAAAAAAAAGAGACACGTCTCGATAATATTTTCTTTTTAATATTTTATTCATTAATTAAAATTAATCTTAATATTGTTGTTTCTCTATTATCTTGTGAAAGAAATATTATACGTCGATAAAATAATGTGTCGGGGAGGGTGGGGTGGGGTGGGGGGGCACTTAAATATGATAACCTTCCTAAAAAAATAGAAAGTAAAAAAAGAAGAAAGAAAAAAAAGATAAAGGATAGAGATAAAATTGAACAAAAGAGGTTGGGCCCTCTATAGCAAAGAAATTCGAAACACGCAAGGTGTTACCTAACTTTCGGTGCATTCCTTTCGTTCGCGGTCGCGGTCGGTTCTCTCGCATTAGTCACTTACTTCGGGCAAAGGCGAAAGGAGATTGTCTCGTCTTGGTTCGCAGCCTTCGATGGATAACCTTCGATCATTTCCGGTGTGAAAAATGGGTACTACTAAATAGCCAACCATAATAATGTTTGAATATTTTGTGTTCTGCCTAATAAAAGTATTTCTAAATAAGGCCGTGTATAATTATTTAACCATAAGCTTATATTGTGCAGCAGCATTGCATATATGCATATACGCAATATTTTATGTTATATATTTCTTTTGTATATTTTATATATATTTGAAAGATATATTATCTATATTTAAATATAAAAAATTATTCAACATTTTTTTATTTATTTCTACATATCAATAAACACAAAATTATTTATCTTTATAGAATTTTGTCGATATACCCTATAGAATAACATTATTTTTCTTTATCTAATCTTATTGGTAACAAAATCCTATTTAAAGATATATATTCATTTTCTTCTTTTAATATTTATATTATCAATATAAAACACTCTTTATCTTAGTTCGTAGAATAGAAAAGGCACAGGTAATAAAACAGTATATAGATCGTAATCATTTGCTTTCTCTATTCTAAAATCCATTCTATTCTGGTATTTCCATTTAGAATAAAATAAGTTCAAGGAACTGGGGTGTATAGGCGACTGTAATCCATGCTTGGTGTTATATATCGATAGATATCCAAGAGGGAGTAGTATAAAGATTATAGAGGAAGGAGGGGGGGGGGAAGGAGGAGAAAGAGGACGATTGGAGGAAGCATCGTATATATCGGAAAGAACTTTATCTTTCGATAGGAGAGTTTTCTTGGTAGCCAACGCATCGTTTTTAAATTCTTTTCTTCCTAACATATCGATTCCATTGCGATGCTTGCTTGGTAGTCAGATTAAAGAACGAATATCGATATCGAGATATCGACTGTATTGTTTGAATACACACATCTTTGTATATTGAGAATGCATATACGTATGATGCACCTATGTAGTATTATATACGTTCTTATATACGAATAAAAGAATTTTAAATGCGTAATCGATTTGGAATGCATCAATCTGATACCAATCTATCTTGTTTGGAATCATATTCGCCATTTTGTTATACGTACCGGAAATGGATCTATTTATTGATGACTCCTATCACGAGTAGGTACGTTTTAAATACGTTATCTTTTGTAAGCAAATTAAATATTAATCATCTTTTTGATAAGGATATTGTATCGAGTATGTGGATTTATAATTGTCAATATTTTATTAATTAATTTATCATGGAATTGTGTGTGGATGATAAGTTATGTTTGCAATTATTCTATTTTGTATTCATTCAAATATAAAATATATTAACTAATTTTCTGATAGAACTGATTAATCAAAGAAAATAAAAAACTAAGAAAAATATACGAGAAAACAATAAAACCATCTAATTTGTATCACCTATCTATTTAATTCACAAGCAAGAACAATGATTAACCATTGTTTTCCATTAAAAGAAAAAAATTGAGTAACCAGGAGTAAGCAACTAATAGAAAAGATATCTAGTATTGTAATAGACAGGTCAGATTCTCTTATACGGCACGTTCATTACCGGAAACGGAAGCTCCACCTTAGTCATTGGATACGAAGTATGCCTATGGCATCTATGTTGTATATAATATCAGGGAATTTACAATAATCATATATAAGATAATACTAAAAAAAAAAAATATATACAATATCAAATTATTTCGTCGTTTAATTAATTAGGTCATACAAACGATGAATTTATTTTTAAAAAAGAAATTTCTCATGCAACAGTAGTACAACACGCGTGTGTGCGCGCTAATAAAATATTTGTCTTATAATAAAATTCATTCATTGGAAACAAAATATAAATATCATTATTATTATTATTATTAAAACAAAAAGTAGGTGAACGGTTAGAGAACACAGGAAGATGTCGGCCATCTTTCTGTTCCGGTCTTTAAATTTTCGGTCGTGTACCACCCTTCCTTCTTCCCTTTGAGAGAAACGAAAGCCCACGGAACTTCAAAGCAGTAATAAAGTCCAATATCGTATTTATCCGTTCGCCGGTTCCGGTCAGGCTTATAAAATGTACGACATGACGAATTATATGATATAAGAGAGAGAGAGATGGATAGATAGATAGATAAACAGATAGAGAAAGACCAGCTACGACGACGATCACGACGACGACGACGATGACAACCAAGAGCCGCCATTTTAATACGTTTAAACTTGCTACTTCCGAATAAAAGTTCATCAGTCGCAAAACACAAATACAACATAACGAAACCCTCTCACTCTCACTCTCTCTCTCTCTCGCATCCGTCGGAACTGTGGACGGCTGGCGCCCGAAATTATTTTCGTTTACGAGAGTAAGAGAGAGAAAGATAAAGGATGTGTTATTTTTTTGTCTCTTTCTATCAAACGCATGGCAGTAGTAGAGTAACCCGCTTTTCGAATATTCGCACACATTCACGCTCATTGCACTCTCGATGCACAGAGTGTAGTATGGCGGATGCACATCCTGTAAATTTGTTAACTCGTTAATTTGTCATTTCTTTCTTTTCTTTTTTTTCTTCTTGTTTTTTTTTTTTGTTTGTTTTCATTTCTTTTTTCTTTTATGATTTATATTATTATGGGTTATTTATATCGCTTGGCGCGAATAAATTTTAATATATTTTAATATGGAAGAAAAAGATATTTTTGTTCTTGTTGTTTCTTTTTTTAATATAAATTACGTAACGCGTTATTTTTTGTTTAAAACCAACAGAATAATAATTCAACATTTGATTGGTAAAAAAAGTTATTTCAAGTGTTACTAAATTTAAAATCTAATTAAATTACGAAACTAAAAAGAAAAGAAAAAATAAATTAATTACTCTTCTTTTTTTATGTAATGAGAAGTTAAATAAATAAATAAATAAATTAATTTATTTATTTATTTATTTGTGCCGACGTAATAAAGTTAACTTTAGTTGATTACTTTTCACGCGGAGACACATTTTCGATATTACGATTGTATGATAATATTAAATCTCTAAGGTATAGTTAATATTAATTAATTTTCTTTTAATTTTTTTTTCCTTTCCCCCTCTCCCAGGTCAACAAACTCAATTTGTGTTAATTAATTTCTTCGCGCACAAATATGTACCGAAAAAAAAAAAAAAAAAACTAACTATAATTTTGCAAATACCACCGGGCCGTGGGTATTGTTATTAACGGGAGATTCATTCGAAAGTGCAAGGAGAAACGATTAGTCTTGTGCAAGGAACATCTTAAACGAAATTCCTTGCGTTTCTCTTTCATGCGAGGCACGTGCGTGAGTCGCGTAGGAACGTGAGAAACGAAGAAGAGGACGAAGAAATATAAAAAGAAAAATGAAAAGAAGAAGAAGAAGCAGAAGAAGAAGCAGAAGAAGAAGTATTAAACGTAAAATCAAGCAGTGATTCTAAGATCTTCGATCATTCTTTCTTTTTTTTCATTTATTTCTTTCTGTCGCATGTGGATTTTCGATCGATGTTGTTGAACTTACAATTAGAAATGATAATGATCGAAAATATCGATCCTAATATGTAATAATTGGACATTGATCACTTAAAAA